GCCCGTGGGAAGCACTCGGCACACAGAATTGCTCCATTCTTCAGCACTCCAAGGGTGTGACTTGCACGTTCCTGCAATGCTTCCTGGACACTTGTTGACAAAGAAACGTTCACGATTTGGTATTTGCTTTGGGAGCTCTGCTTCCCATTGCTGGAGCCGTGACTCCTATTTTGGATGATGTCATCCTGCAGGCGGGTTCTCCGCACCCTATATATCGCGGGGCTCCGTCTGTGGGGTTTACCGAGGGAGCAGAGCACCGAGAGCCCAGTGCAGACCAGACAGCCGCCTCGCCATGAAGATCACAGGGGCCGTTCTGCTCTTCGCTCTGGCCCTTTGCTGCTCCTACTCGGGTGAGTCAGTGAACCCTGTTCTGATACCTCTGCACCTGGAGGGACGGGGTCGGACTCACGTGGATCTGTATGGGGGTTCCCACCCCCACATCCACCGTGGCTGATTCCAGGAGCAGCCGGTTTATTTCCGAGGCTGCGTCTAGACTGCAGGCTTCTTTCGGCAGAACCGTTTTTCGGAAGAGATCTTCCAAAGAAACTTCTTCCACAGGAAACTTCTGTCCATACACAGCAGCACATTGAAAAAGCGATGTGCTGTTTCGAAAGAGAGCATCCACGTAGAATGGACACTGTCTCACGTGTACGCTGTCATTGCTCTGCCAGAGGGAACAGCCAGCATTTCAACAACAGTGCCTCCCAGAGGGCACAGCCAGCATTTCAGCGTTACAGAGTCACAGACACTGGGCTACTATATATATGATTACTTGTTGAGTTTTTTTACTAGATGTTCTTCAAACTCCATTTTGGCTTTTCTTATTATATTTTTACACATCATGTGACAATTTGTGCCCCTTTCTATTTGAATAATGACTTTTTCTCCTTCGCTGCGGGTACGCCTACACTAGCCCCCTAGTTCAAACTAGGAAGGCTAATGATGGCGACTGAAACCACAAATGAAGCGCGGGATTTAAATATCCCATGCTTCATTAGCATGTTCCCGGGCAGTCGCCATTTTGGATACTGACTAGCCCGGAATAACCGCCCACGTCTGTACGTGGCAGTGAAATGGGAGTTTGAAGTAAACCCCTTAACTCGAATTAGCTGTTGCTCCTCTTGGAATGAGGTTTAACAGCTTCATTTGCAATATTGGTTGCCCTCGAACTTGGGGACACGGCCGTTTGGGCTCTGTGGTCCCCCAAGTGAGAGGCAGGAGGAGGAGGAGAAGAGAAAGAGAGACAGAGAGAGAGGTGGGAGGCGGACGAAAGCTGAGAGAGGTTGGGGGGGGAGGCAGGAATTGGAGGAGGAGAGAGAGAGAGACTGGAGGCTCAGGAGAGAAAACTGACATGGAGGAGAAACCTGAAAACCCCGTCTTATGATGGGCTAATTGGCTAGTAACAAATGTTTAAGTACATCAGATACAGGAAGCCTGCTACACCACCAGTGGGACCCCTGGATGGTCAAGATGCTAAATGAGCACTCAGAGATGATAAGGTAATTGCAGAGAAACGAACTGAATTCTTGGCTTCATTCTTCACAGCTGAGGATACGGGAACGGGGGGAGGGGGTCCCAAACCTGAACCAGTCTTTTTAGGTGACAAATCGGAGGAATTGTCCCAGATTGAGGTGTCATTAGAGGAGGTTTTGTAACACATTGATAAACAGTAAGAAGTCACTGGTATCAGATGGCATCACCCAAGAGCTCTGAAAGAACTCAAAATGTGAACTTGTGAAACTATGAACTGTGGTTTGTAACCTCGCCTTCCAATCAGCTTCCGCACCTACTGACTGGAGATCGCTGATGTGAGGCCAACATTTAAAAAGGGCTCTAGGGGTGCTCCTCGCAATTACAGACCAGTAACTCTAATGTCAGTACCAGGAAAATTAGTTGAGATTATAGTAAAGAATAACATTGTCGGACACACGGCTGAACATAATTTGTTGGGGGAAAAGTCAATATGGTTCCTGTAAAGGGAAATCAGGCCTTCCTAATCTACCAGAGTGCTTTGTGGTGCTCAACAAACATGCGGGCAAGGGGGAATCCAGTGGATGTAGTATACTTAGATTTCCAGAAAGCCTTTGACAAGGTCCCTCACCAAAGCTTCTTAAGTACAGTAAGTTGTACCAGAGGCTAGGCCCTCTCATGCATTGATAACTGCTCAAAAGACGGGAAACAGAGGGTAGGAATAAATGATCAATTTTCAGAATGGCGAGACATAACCAGTGGTGTTTGGAAAGGTCTGAACCCTTTACTGGGACCAATCAGCCGGAGCCGGGTTCAATATTCAGGGGTCCCTTTTCATCCATCTCACACACAACCGGCTCGAGTCCCCACCCAGTAGCCTGGAAATTCACACACCCCACGGCACCTCAGAGAGGCAACGCTTCCCCACTCGCAAGTGCAGAGTCTGAGCGCAGAAAAGAAACTTTTAATGAAAGAGAGAGATCGGTCACGTGGCATTAGCTTGGGAAAATCCCACAACCAGAGTTCATAACCAACTCGTGAGTAACTGTCCCGGTTCAAATGGATTGAGCAATGTCCTTTGCCCCTCGGGCTCACTAGTCCAAGCTAAGGGTTCCATTCATTTTCCCAAGCTTTCCTCGTACCCCACTTCAAACGCCCCACTTGCAGCTCTGTCCAGTCAGTGCGGACCCAGACACGGCACCCCGATGACTCCACACCTTGAGCCTGAGTCCATGCCACCTTTAAACTGTTCCTCTGGTCCGCTTCCTCCACCAGCCGCTCTGCTGGCAGTCTGCCGGCATGGTTTGTGACCCCACAACAGCCTAATTAGTTAAAATACCCCACGTTCCATTCTAACAACTGATCCTCCCTCGGCCCTGGCTAAATTGGATTTACATAACCACACCCTGGATTCCTCCTTCATCCCAGCATGAGCTGTATTTCCATATCAACAGTTAATTATCGTGCAGGGCTAAACAATTTGGATGAGCATACCCACCCCCGGGCTGCTCTCTCCTTTTAGCTGGCTGACTGCAAGCAGTCCTTCAGCCCCTGCGTACAGGTACAAAATGATGGGGATTAGCTATCATGACTCAAGAGAGATCTTGGAGTCATTGTGAACAGTAGTCTGTAAATAGACACGTATTGTGTAGCAGCATGGAGAAAAGCAACCAATGTTGGGAATCATTAAAAGGGGATAGAGAATAAGACACAATCTCTCATTGTCTGGATGCAAATCCATGCACGCTACAGAAATACTATATGAATACTGCAGGCACCTGTGGTCGCCTCATCTCAAAAAAGATACCTTGACACTAGAAAAACTTCAGCAAAGGGCAACAAAAATGATGAGGGGTTTGGAATGGCTGGCGTACGAGGAGAGATTAAAAAATGGGACTGTTTAAGTTAAAGAAGGAGACAAAGGAGGGTTATGTTGAGGGCCACAAAATCATGAGTGGTGTGAAAATAAATGAGGAAAACTTATTTACCGGTTCCCGTAATATAAGAACTAAGGGTCACCAAACACAATTAAGAGGTAGGAGGTTCAAAAGAAACAAAAGGAAATATTTCGACACAAGTGGTGTGAAAATAAATGAGGAAAACTTATTTACCGGTTCCCGTAATATAAGAACTAAGGGTCACCAAACACAATTAAGAGGTAGGGAAATATTTCGACACGTTATGCAGTCAACCTGTGGAACTCCTTGCCAAAGGATCTTATGAAGACCTGGATGTTAACAGAGTTAAAAAAGATAGTTAAGTTCATGGAGGACAGGTCCGTCAATGGCTATTACACAGGATGGGTCGGAATCTGTTTGTCAGAGGCTGGGAATGGGCGACAGGAAATGAATCAATGGATGATTCCCTGTTTTGTTCATTCCCTCTGGGTCACCTCTATTGGCCACTGTTGGGAAACAAGCTGTTGGAATAGACGGGGCTTTGGTCTGGCCCAGTCTGGCTCTTCTTATGTTCGCAGTCTTGATACCGTCATTGTTGTGAACCGCGCAGCATGGAGTTGGTTGCTCTGTGCTCTGGCGCTGGCGTGGCCACCAGTTCCGCCCAGCGCCTGCTCCCCTCGGCCGATGGCACCGCGCTGCAGAGACACTGAAGCTCTGTAGGAGCCAGACTCTGAACGGGCCTGTCGTGGTCCAGCGATTCCTGCACATAGAAAAACCCCTCCCTTGCCCCCAGCAGCACTGGGCCGTGTGGAGCCCCCCAGCGCCAGCGCCCCAATGACCCCCCTCCTGAGCCCCACTGCAGCAACCTGGAAGCTCTGCTCAGCCCTGATCTCCGGGTGCACAAGGGGTGGAAGAGTCCCTCTGCCTGGGCTCCGTGCTGCCCTCTTGCCCCTGTGCAGCACAGCCACTGCCTGCCCAGAGACTCTGGATCCCAGCAGACCCGTCCCCTGCCTTCGTGTGGGGCTGCTCTGGTGGAGCTGTCGCCGTGAACACCGGGACATGGCCCTGCTGGCTGCACACTGCGCCCTGGCCACATCCCCTCCCTCTCAGCCGAGAGGGGATTTCCACACCGCTGTTATCACAGGGCATGAGCTGGGGAAAGGGGGCCGATCCTGGAATCCCAGCACAGCCTCTGCCCTAAAGAGCCTCTGCGCTTCTCCCCGCTCCGGCTCCCTGCCGAACGCTTGTAAGATCAGCCCGCAGGGCCATCCCTTCGGGACAGCTTGGCCCTCTGCTGCTGGAACCCACGGCAGGCCGTGGCCAAAAGAGGCTGGTAAGACGGCAAATGCCGGTTGCTGGTACCTTTGCTAGGCCTTGACGCTGCAGCATGATAGGTTCCTTCCTACTCTGTCACAACAAACAGAAATGCCCAGATCTGGGCAGCACCTGGCCCGTGGGAAGCACTCGGCACACAGAATTGCTCCATTCTTCAGCACAACAAGGGTGTGATTTGCACGTTCCTCCAATGCTTCCTGGACACTTGTTGACAAGGAAACGTTCACGATTCGCTATTTCCCTTGGGAGTTCTGCTTCCGAATGCTGGAGCCGTGACTCCTATTTTGGATGATGTCATCCTGCAGGCGGGTTCTCCGCACCCTATATATCGCGGGGCTCCGTCTGTGGGGTTTACCGAGGGAGCAGAGCACCGAGAGCCCAGTGCAGACCAGACAGCCGCCTCGCCATGAAGATCACAGGAGCCGTTCTGCTCTTCTCTCTGGCCTTTTCCTGCCTCTACTTGGGTGAGTCACTTTTCTGCAACATCTACTGAGCTCCGTTCCAAACCCTCTGTTGGTAGGACGGGGTCGACCTTGCTCTGGTCCGGACTTGGGTACACAGCCCTGCACTGTGGCCCATTCCAGTAGCAGCCGAGGTACGTCTGAGATACCCCTGCACCATCCTCACAACAAGCAGCATGCTAGTTCCATGAGCCCGGTCAGGGAGGTTAAACACTGGAGGAAATTGCCAAGGTTTTTTGGAATCTCCTTCATAGGGACATTTTTAGAAGCCAGTTAGATAACACTGGTCGGGGTGATGTAGACGGTGCTTGGTCCTGCTGTGAGTGCAGGAGACTGGACTCGATGACCTCTCCAGGTCCCTTCCAGCCCTATGTTTCTTGATGAAATTCTTTGCTATTACTTCATTATGAAGACCCACTCAAATAAAGACGGAACATAGGAGACAGCTGGCTAGGTTATTAGGACTGTCAGGGAGGTCCTGGATCCTTCAAAACAGGTGCCGAGACACAGTCTTTAGAGTTCTGGAGTTATTCAACAGTGTCAATGAATGGCCCAAGCAAGCTGTCGGGCGTACGAGGGCAAGCGTGCAGTGTTATGTTCATCCAAACAGACACTCCGTGAAAATGCCAATGTATCTCCTTGAGGTCTGCAATGTCATGGCTTTATTGCTTAGAATCTAGAACCATAACATGCAAGGACTCCAAACCCAGACACACAAAGCAGGCTGCTCCCTGTGATGACGAGGACAAGTCAACCCCACTTGCTTTAGACTGGCTCTTTGCAGACTGACTGTGGAAGTCCTAGATCACATGGTTTTCAAAAGCGTCCCTATAATGCGCAAAATCAGGAAACTCCTCACACTTAGAGAGACGAGGGAAGAAAGACACCGGAACTGGAGTCACCCATCAGATCCAGTGCAGAGCAGGACAACCAAGTGGCGGAAAAGCGTCTGTGCATGAAATGGCCTATCCTGTAACAGGCTGTTTTAGGGACAGTCACAAGCCATTTTTCTTCGGGTCTAATCCTGCTTCCGCTGATGTCAGTGGCCATTTTGCGGCTGTGGTGGCCTGGATGTAGCTGTGGAAGGACATCAGGGGATATTACTACAGCTGGCAGCTCACGGAAAAGTTCTTCCCCTCAAATGGCAGGGACCTGTGTTTCAAAAGCCAACAGTTGAGACCAACCTCTCGGTGTTGTTTTACGATGGGTTGCTTAAGACAACTGGGAAATTACAGACTAGCCAGCTGATCCATATCCAGAATGAGACGGCAAAATATTAAGCAATCAATTTGCAAACCAGTTGACAAGGTGATACGTGACAGTCGGACTGGACTGCTCATGAACAAAGCAGGCCAATCTCGCCTGATAACTTTCCTTGACAGCGTAACATGCCCCTTTGAGCTGGGAAAAAGGTACAGGGTAGTCAGGCGTTTGTCTCATATAATCTTCTCATAAGCAAAGTAAGAAAAGACAGGCCTTAAATGGAGCTACAAAAGGGGATGCATACCGGGTTGGAAAACTGTTCCCAGAGAGAAATTATTAGTGGCTCACAGGAAAGGCGGCGGGTGGTGGAGGAGGAGTATGGAGAGGGGTCCCACATGGAATGGGTCTGGGTTCGGTTGAATTTCTTCATCAACTTCTAGACACTGGCATAGAGAGGACGCTTGTGAAGTCTACAGGTGATACCACGCTGGGAGGGGTTCCACATGCTTTGGAGGGTAGAGTTATAGTTCAAAAGGGGCTGGACTGGATGAAGGAATGGTTGGCCGTAAGGAGACTGAAATTCAATAAGGACAAATGCAAAATGCTCCTAGGAAGGAACAATCGGTAGCGTGCACGCAAAGTGGGAAACGACTGTCTAGGAGGGAGTGCTGTGCAAAGGGATCTGGGACCACAAGCTGATTATGACTCAGTGGGATCGCGCTACGGCAGCAGAAGCAAACAGCATTCTGGGACGTGTGAGCAGGAGGGATGCCCTGCTGGTACTTCCTGAGCTGGTGGGGAATAGGCATGCATGTCCTACCAGGGCTCCACAGGGACCAGCATGTTTAACTGCCCTTCCCTCCGACGCGTCCCTTCACTGTGTCTGTTTGCATTTTGTTCCAGATGCTGCTGGCCAGGATGAGGAGGTAAGTCGATCTCTCCCTGTTCGTGAGCATTCGCTTTCCCCAATCTGACATTTGTGGCAGCCAGGGACCACGAGCCTGGGTTAGAAACCTGGGAGGACTCAGGCTTCAAGGCAGGGCAGCGTGTGCAGACACTGGGGCTCTGGGACCCTCCCCTCCTTGCAGCTCAGAATCCAGCCCGGGAATAAAGGCCATCAGAGCAATTGTGCAGCCCAAGCCCAAGTCAGCTGACCTGAGCTAGCCAGGGGTGTCTGACGGCAGGGGAGACACGAGCCACGTGGCCCGAGGGGCGGATCCCAGGCGCTGTTGCCCCGGGCAGGGGGGGATGGGACTGTGGGAAGAGCAGGGAGCAACTCAGAGACACAGCAGGGGAGGGGACGGTCCCACAGAGCCGGAAGGGTTTTCTGTCTGAGCATCCCCCGTCAGGAGATGCCCCTTTGCACACAGCGTGTGATCTCGGAAGCGTCTCTTGACCAGGGAGACGGGCTCAGCTCTGCCTGGCAGCGAGAGGGGCCCGGGGCAGTCAGTCCCAAGATCAGCAGAGACAGGGGACAGGGATGGACTCCGCGAGCCCCTGGGACGGGACTGTCCTTGCCCTGCGTTCAGAGATTAAGATCAGCAGAGACAGGGGACAGGGATGGACTCCGCGAGCCCCCGGGACGGGACTGTCCCTTGCCCTGTGTTCAGAGATCGCCCAGCCCGTGGGAGGTGGAGGGGAGCACCGCAGAAACGCAGACAGTTCCATTAATAGCCATACTGCTGTTCTCTGTAGGATATGTGCAGTATGTACGACTACCCTCCAGAATACTGCTCTCCTGTGTACAGCCCTATCTGTGCAACCGATGGCACCACGTACGGCAACGAATGCGAATTTTGCGCTGCCTACTTGTAAGTCATGGAAGGAGCAGCCTGCTCAGAAGAGCGAGACCAGAATTGCGATGCAAACACGACCCTCCCTGCCCGTCTGCATCTCGCTGTCGTGGCCTGGCACCCGCCCCTCTCCTTCTGCCTCCTAGGGACGCCATGTCCCTCTCCTTCTGCCTCCCCGGGACGCCAAGCGCTGCCCCTCTCCTTCTGCCTCCCCGGGACGCCATGTCGCCTCCACCCAGTGCCAGGGCCTCCACCCAGTGCTGGGGGGAATTAGCGTAGGTGGGAGACCCCGGCCAGGCCGACGAGCCAGGCTGCCTGCCAGCTACGGTCCCTGAGCCTGCAGGCAGCGGTCTGCGCCAAGCCAGGGACGAGGTAGCGCCAAGCCCTCAGGCAAGGGCAGAGCGGAGTCCACAGTCACGTGGCTCCGCGCCCCGGGACAGAGGCAGAGCTAACCCGGGAGTCAGTCCAGTCCCGTGGTGCGGGGGAGCCGTGGGGGAATTAGCGTAGGTGGGAGACCCCGGCCAGGCCGACGAGCCAGGCTGCCTGCCAGCTACGGTCCCTGAGCCTGCAGGCAGCGGTCTGGGCCAAGCCAGGGGCGAGGTAGCGCCAAGCCCTCAGGCAAGGGCAGAGCGGAGTCCACAGTCACGTGGCTCCGCGCCCAGGGACAGAGGCAGAGCTAACCCGGGAGTCAGTCCAGTCCCGTGGTGCGGCGGGGGAGCCCCAGTCCAGTCCCGTGGTGCGGGGGAGCCGCCAGAAGCCCAGTAACACTGAGAGCGGCGCCCGAGGCAGGGCACTCGCAAGAGTCACTCAGCCGGGCCCTTGTCACCAGCCCAGGGCAAACCCAGCCCTCAGGTATCTCTAGGCTCTTGCAGCCGCGCCAGGGGAAACGCCAGGGGTCGGGCGTCCTGGCTCCAGCTGACGACCCCGAGCCCAGGTCACTCTGGGGATGGGGCCCACCTTGCCCCACAGACCCCAGCCCGGGGCTCTAACGGGGCGTGGCAGCGTGTTCCTCCACTCGGTCCGCGGGAAACCCACCCGCCAGCTGCCTGCAGCCAGACTGGGCTCCAATGTCCCCAGGCCACTGACTGCCCTGCCCTTGGGGCGTATCTGGGGGAGCAGGGCAGCATCGGCCTCCTCTGGGTAGCTGGCCCACTGCAGTCCTGGGCAGGGCAGCCCCGGGCTCAGCCGCAGGGAGCGAGCCCCATCCACCCGCCCCCCCCGCCTCTCAGCACCAGCGGAGTGGGAGGCGCCGCCCTTTATACTTCCTGGTCTGGTGACAGGCTTCTGGTGGGAGGGGCAAAGCTGCCCTGGCTCCACCCACCCAGAGGCACCAGGGTCAGTTCCTCTCCTCTGGGGCCCAGGGAAGCCCCAGCGCCTCACGGCGCCTACCGGCCGGGTCAACGCTCTCGCTCTCTGGTTTGCCCTCAGCAAAAGGGCTCGGCTTAGCTGATACTTCGGGGGCTTGGGAGAAGCTTTGCTGCAGCCCTGACTTCTCTGCCTCTCTCAGGACAGACCCAGAGTATGTTGCCTTTGCATATTATGGCGAATGTTACCCATATGATGATGCGGTCGTAGCCAGAACTGAACTTTAGATGCTCGCTGCCACGCCCAGAACCCTGCACGGAGCCGCTTCTCATCCCACCTCCACGGCCTGGCCCCCGGTAGCGTCGCTGCCCATCCCCCTGCCCGCGCAATAAAGGAAACTCCGCACAATCCGTTGCCTCGCTGGTTTTTCCGCTCTCCTAGCAGGGACTCTGCTCTCCAGGGTCTCTCACAGGCTCTGCCAAGTTTACTGACCGGTCTCAAAGGGAACCCAGAATGCAACGACCAGTCAGGTGCATTAAGTAAGCCACAGACTGGCAATCAGTAGATCGCCTCCTGCCAGGGCGTTTCCTACAAGAGAAACCTCCCTGCAACCCCAGATACGTTCCCGTGTCTGACTCCTTCCTGCTCTGAGTGTGCTCAATGGCCCGAACGAGACCATGAGCATCGCCCCAGGGAAAAGGCGTTTGCCTGTGACACCATCAAGGGATGGGAGGCCAAAGGACCAACCCTCCAAACTCGGGTCACGGGGATGGTTCGGAGGATGGGAGGTGTAAAGGGCTTGCCCTTCTCCTTCCTCGGTCTCCGTGTGGCCATGCTGAGCCGTGCTGTGAGCTGCCCCCTTGCTGCCCCCCCACGGCCGCCTCACCAGCCACTTCTCCCTTCTCCCACTCTCCTTGCTGCCTCGCCAGCCAGTCATTGGGCAGCTGGCGGCTTGCGGCCTCTGCTGTGACCCCTCCTGACTGAGCTCCTCGCGGGCGGGGCAGAAGCATTTCAATGGCAGCGCTCCTTGGAGCACGTTCACATCGCAAAAGCTGCCAGGGGAGAATCCAGTCCGACCCGGCTCGCACGGCCAACCCCAGAAAGGGTCAGTCCCCACATCCCGACCCAGGGGTTCCTACAGTGCCCGTGACCGCTCGGAGCGGATCATTCCGGCGCCCTCCAGATCCTCCCAACGTATTTTTCTCAAAACTGAAATTGTGTCCAAATCGCCACAAGCTTGTGGGAAATGTTGATTTACACGAAATGGCATTTTCTCATGGGAAACTGTTTTATCCAAAGATTTTGCACCAACCTCCAGCCCGGCACCTCTCTGGCTCCTGCGTTTCACGGGCGCTCAGCCTCACTTCACTGCTGTAATGGGCGCGTTTCAGCCTCTTGGGCCCTGAAGGCCGCAAGGTCGAGCCTGTGCCTGTAGGGCAGCCGGTGAATCCGTGGCCACGGGCACCGCACAGAAAGCTGAATTCCCCGGTGGGCCACAGGCTGGATCCAGTTGCTCTCACGATCCACCACCAGCGCCCTGCGTGGAGTCAAGGTCTCGCTCTCCCTGCATTGTGGGGATCCTGACAGTCCCCGTCACTCCGTCTGCTTGTGAAGAACACACGCCGCTGGATTCTTTCCCTGGCTCCATTTCCCCTTCCTCTGCCGTGTCACACCAGCTCTTAGCACAGGGACCGTGCGGCCTGGCCAGGGGATACAACAACGTTTCTTAAAGTGTGTTCTCCGGCACACCGGTGTGCCATGGGGCAGTTGGAGGTGTGCCACGGAGAGAACAGAATTCAAAATGGCCACCCTTAAAGGAACCAGCTTCCTTTTTTTTCCCCCTCAAGAAAAAAATTCTTGGTGTTCCCAATAAAAAAAAGTATTGTTTGGTGTTCCTCGGTCTTAAAAAAGTTTAAGAAACACTGGGATAGACAGTGCAGGAGCACCAGGAGTGTGCCCATTAGGGCCCCACTCGTTATTATACCCCCTCTCTTCCATCTCCTTTCCTCTGAGAATCAGCATGCAGCTCCCCGGAGCGTGCCCTGCACCCGCCGCCTCTCCGCCTCGGAGCCTGCACCCACCTGTCGAGGAGCAGCAAGCGGTTGGAAGTTCCTCAGCTCAGCCTTCCAATTCCTGATTCTATTTACGGCCCGGCCCAACGGCCTCAGTCAGTATAAACGCCCCTTTCCTCAGGCTGCTATTGCCCCTGCGGTCTTTATCAAAAAGTCCACCCCTGTGTTGATGGCATTACCGCATAGTGGCCCCAGTCCACATACACAAGTCCCTCGTCAGGGTCATACAGACCCATGGCCTTAGGCCATGGATAAGCCCCCTTAGTCAGGGTACTACAGCCCTGCGGCCTAAGGCAATGCAGCCTTGGCAAAGCTCCCCCAGGCGGGGAGGTGTATGGAGGGGGAGCATGTCCCAGGCCCCCCACGTCCACCGGGTCCCAGTCTAGAGTCCTGTGGGCAGCGGCATGGTCCACGGCTCACTCAGGCGGGATTCCTGGCACAACACTGAGGGCTCTGGGTGCAATTCCCTGCCCTGACGTCTTCCCCTTGGGCTCACTCTCAATCTGCAGCGTCTCTGGGAACAGCACCCGGCCTCAGCACCTCCTCCCCCTCCGGCAGCCAGCCCTGAGTGAGCTGCTCCAAAGGCTTTTATAGCCAGTCTCCCGAGGGCGCATGCCCAGCAGGTCTGTGAGGGTGGGGCCCTCTCGGCCAGCTGGGTCGAGGTCACTCCGTCAGCTGCAGTGCGGGTCGACCCACCCCGGTGGTCACACAGCCCTCCCGCCGGGCCTCGGGTGGTAGCCCAGCTCCTCGGTGTCCGGCCGTCTGCGCGCCAAGTACTGGGGGGGTCGGCTGCCACCTTCAGTGTCTTCCCGAGAACATGCACCCATAGTGCTGCCAGGTGGTTTCAGCAAAGATACCGGACACAGTTGACATGGCAGCACAGTCTGCATTGCACCCTGTTCAGAAAATACCGGACAGTTCTATGTTCTCAATTTGTTTCCCAACAGAAAACTCAAATACTGGACTTGACACCTGGTAACCTTGTGCACCCACTTGGCTACATGGAGCATTACTGCACTGGGGCTGCCGGACCGACCTGCAGGCATCCTGGGTACGACCACATCGTGGTAACAGACAAGATGCTGCTAAACCCCACAGCTTCCGCCCGCCCCAACACTCTGGCTGCCTGCTCTGTAGGCCTCGGCTTTGCACCCACACACAGCCTGCTGTGCCTCATGTTCCTCCAATGAGCCTCATGCTGTTCCCTGCTCGGAACGCCCCAGCTCCAGGGTCCCGGGTTATGGGGGAGTCTCAGCTTTGTTTCCTAAAGGCCGTCTCTAGACCTTGGGATTGCAGACAAGCTGGGCAATGTGACCCCTAAGAGATCAAGCACCAGTAGGCAAATCAACAGTGCCCCCTGGCTGTTATCTCTTTTCAAAGGCACTCTACCAGAGGCTCAACTTCAATGTATACCCCAAATTAAAAAAAACCACAGTAAGAGAACCAAAAGAGTGCCATCATGGCTTAACCACCACGTAAAACATGCAGGTTACGTCTACACTATCCCCCTAGTTCGAACTAGGGAGGCTAACGAGGGTGATCGAAATTGCAAATGAAGCACGGGATTTAAATATCCTGCACTTCATTAGCATGTTCCCGGCGGTCGCCGTTTTGGAAGCTGACTAGCCCGGGAGTTCAAAGTAAACCCCTTCACTCGAATTAGCTGTTAAACCTCATTCTAGGAGGAGTAACAGCTAATTCGAGTTAAGGGGTTTACTTCAAAGGCAAAGGGCCCCTCTGCCTGGGCTCCGTGCTGCCCTCTTGCCCCTGTGCAGCACAGCCACTGCCTGCCCAGGGCCTCCGGATCCCAGCAGACCCGTCCCCTGCCTTCGTGCGGGGCTGCCCTGGGGGAGCTGTCGCTTTGTCCATGAACACCAGGACATGGGCCTGCTGGCGGCACACTGCGCCCCGGCCACAGCCCCTCGCTCCTGGCCGAGAGGGGATTTCCCCGCTGCTGTTATCACAGGGCACGAGCTGGGGAAAGGGGGACGATCCTGGAATCTCAAGTCTTGTTGGGGTCACAGGCCATTGAGTGTGACCTGCCCTAAAGAGCCTCTGCGCTTCTCCCCGCCCCGGCTCCCTGCCGAACGCTTGTAAGATCAGCCCGCAGGGCCATCCCTTCGGGACAGCTTGGCCCCCTGCTGCTGGGCCCCACGGCAGGCCGTGGCCAAAAGAGGCTGGTAAGACGGCAAATGCCGGTTGCTGGTACCTTTGCTAGGCCTTGACGCTGCAGCATGATAGGTTCCTTCCTACTCTGTCACAACAAACAGAAATGCCCAGATCTGGGCAGCACCTGGCCCGTGGGAAGCACTCGGCACACAGAATTGCTCCATTCTTCAGCACTCCAAGGGTGTGACTTGCAGGTTCCTCCCATGAATCCTGGACACTTGTTGACAAGGAAACGTTCACGATTTGGTATTTCCCTTGGGAGCTCTGCTTCCCATTGCTGGAGCTGTGACGCCTATTTTGGATGATGTCATCCTGCAGGCGGGGTCTCCGGCACCCTATATATCAGTGCGGAGCAGTCCAGACAGCCACCAAACCATGAAAATCACAGAAGCTGTTCTACTCTTCTCTCTGGCCCTTTGCTGCCTCTACTTGGGTGAGTCAATTCCGCTTCAATTGAGCTCGGTTCAGAACCCGAGTTCACATCCAGCCCCAGCCAGTCTATTTCTGAGGTGACTCATGGTAATAGTCCTATGAGCTCTGTGCAGGTGGTTAAACAAGACAATCATTTCTGGGAGCGGGTGTCGAATCTCGAACACGGGAGAAATTGAAGAACTCGTCTGAGATACCCCTGCACCATCCTCACAACAAGCAGCATGCTAGTTCCATGAGCCCGGTCAGGGAGGTTAAACACTGGAGGAAATTGCCAACGTTGATTTGGAATCTCCTTCATTGGACATTTTTAGAAGCCAGTTAAATTACACTGGTCGGGGTGTCAGGGTGGTCCTGGTGTTAGGACTGTCAGGGAGGTCCTGGATCCTTCAAAACAGGTGCCGAGACACAGTCTTTAGAGTTCAACCCCTCTTGCTTTAAACTGGCTCTTTGCAGACTGACTGTGGAAGTCCTAGATTACATGGTTTTCAAAAGCGTCCCTATAATGAGCAGATCAGGAAACTCTGCACGGTTAGAGAGACGAGGGACGAAAGACACTGGAACTGGAGTCACCGATCAGATCCAGTGCAGAGCAGGACAACCAAGTGGCGGAAAAGCGTCTGTGCATGAAATGGCCTATCCTGTAACAGGCTGTTTTAGGGACAGTCACAAGCCATTTTTCTTCGGGTCTAATCCAGCTTCCGCTGATGTCAGTGGCCATTTTTTGGCTGTGGTGGC